TAAAATAACGTTTTTTGCTCACAACCTTGTACCTCGTCAGTAGGTGGCACCAAAGCAATGATTTGTACCAAAATAAAAACACAAGCTGCAAACGGAATACGTTAAAAACATGGGGTTCATGAGTGAAGGATATTCTTGTAAATGAACGGAGAGGATATTTGATTATTATTATTATTGTTATTAATGATTTTATTACTTAAGGTTTCAAACAACCTGAACCGCCATCTTGTTTTTTTTCTGCATCTTACAGCGAAATGGCTAGACAACTCAGTGTGACACTTTGAACATGCAATAATAAAAATTATTTTTTCTAACTAAAAATATTGTAAAAAGATCTCTAACCTGTCGGTGAAATCCACAGGCCAAAAATGAGCCAAACACTGTGTAAAAAAAAATCAAAGTCTAATCAGCTGATAACTGTCTGACTGATTCAATAACTAATGGCAGGGTCACAGTACAGCATTCACTCACATTCACAGCCTCGGCCAATCAACAGTGACCAAATAACGTAATCCTCCATGATTTTGGAGAGCGGAAGTGAAACTGAAGTATTTGTGAACTGCAGACAGAAGGACGGACGCAATCAGTTATAACAAGGGTCGGAATCACTAACAATCTTGAAGCGGGTACCACAAGGTCCCCGGACCAGAGGTTGGAGACCCCTGCCATACAGTACTCCATACAAGGCTAGTTCCATTACTGTAGCTTTGAGAAGCTAGGGTTAAATATTTTTCATTCCACTGCAGTGCATTCCCACAGCTTCATCGTAGGCGAAGGCATCTGAAGACGAGCGGCGGACGTTCTGGTATTTGAGGAGAACCAATCGTGGTCCACAATGACCACTGTAGTCTAATTAGGAAACACCTCTGCTGCGACTCTAACCAACCACGACACCTGTGACCTGTACATACCAAAGAAGAGGGCGACGTCACGTGCAGCCATTACATAGATATACGGACAACATCTGAATTCACTGTCTGTCTGAATGGAAGTTTGTTTTTCTCGGTTGCCAAGGTAACGTTGACGTCACGGTTCCTACTGTAATCGCTGTATCCCAGCAGGTCGGAATCTGTGTACGGACCTTTGAACGCAGCCCCAGCAAGAGACGTCAGCTTAGCAATATCTCTGTGCTGAAACCTAGCAACATAAATGACACATGGAGAGTGTGAGTGTGTGTGTCCTCTGTTGCTTAACAACTGGTGGAAATCAGATTCCTGAAGTGAGCCTGCACACGCAGCACAACGGCAGTTGTGAAAGTAGGTTTTTAATCCACGCGGAGAAACCAGGATGAGGGGAACGGATTTGTTTGTGACTGGAGCACACAAACAGACTAATAAATCGTGACAGAGTTAAAATAGACTCTCTAACGAGGATTTCACGACATTTCTGAAACGTGTTATCAGGACAAACCAAAAATAATCGCCGAGGTGCTTCACTAGTCTTATAGGGGTTCTCTCTTTTTTTTTCTTTTTTCTACGTGACTGATGATCTGTCTGTGAACCGTGTGCCTTAAATACTGATGAAAAAACAAACAAAAAAACCTTTCTGTGGACATGGAGGTCAGGCTCCCTGACCTGTGGGAGAAGCAGCTCCCATCCTGCTCCAGGCTTAAGGATGTGCAAACCAAACAGACAGCATGTGACCTCTGTGTCACCTTCTCACTTACAACAGGAGCATCGTTTACATTAAGATGTTTTTTGGCGATATTTAAAACCCACTTTAAAACGGTCGACTGAAACGAGTCGACTGTAACCAGACACTGATGGAAACGACGGATAAACCAGTTTTGATCACCAAATCACTTTTCATCCTAAACCCAACAGGATCTGATTTCAGATCAGTTTTGTGGTAAACAACGATGAAACTGACCCAACCATACACATCTGACACGTCCTGTCCTGTCTTGTCTGATGATGAGAGGAACTCATCTCTCTATCATAGATCTACGTGCGGTCTAGTGCGGGTGTCAATGTTTGTCCTTGGTGATGCGCTGCGTAAAGCCCCCCACCCTCATCTAGATTACAGTCTCTTTTTGTCTTACACCAGCAAAACATTTAAGTTGGAGTTCTGCAAACTCACACAGATATGAAAGGATATAAAGGTTCCATCACGGGAACGTTGTGGTTCAGGTCGGTCACAGGTCAGCCTGTTGATTGTGAAGATGATCTGACCTCTACTGGAATAAATAATGAACGAACGACTGGATATACTGTCTAACTCCCGTGAGGTTAAATGGAGATATACACGTTGGACTAAAGCACCAGCTGAAAAAAACCAAAGCATTGAACAATTTGGATGATGTAGACGACGACCCCAGACTCACTGGTCACTGAATACTGATGAACACACACACACACACACTGATGTTAGGCTGCATCACAAAAAGACACACCAGCTCCACCAATGGGAACATTCCTCACATAGCAGTCACCCCTCCCCCACCTCCGTTATTTTTTAGATAAAAATCATATGTTTAACACCCACATGGTCCCTTCTTTACTCATTATAATTAACCAACACCACATATATATATAAAAATATACATATATATATATTTATATGTGTACATATATATTTAGATATGTACATATATACGTATATATGTATATATATATACATATATATAAATATATATATACACATATATATAAATATATATATGTGTATGTATAAAGATAACCAATACTGACACAGTGACACAGTGACATCACGCAGTCCAAACAGCACAGGCTGAATAAAAGGATTACCATGAGGACACTTTTGCTTGAATCTGTACACTTAAAATATTTCCTTTTTTCTTCTTCTTTTTTTTTCTTTTCTTTTTTCCATAAAATACCATATAAAGTGTCAATGCAATTAGACTATGAAAATTGCATAGGTGGTTGATGATCTGTTCCCCGGCCAGGCTGCTCACAGTACAATCACCGATCTAATCCCTGGCCCTAAGTCTTTTCACTAAAAACTTTATAATAGTAACTATATTTGTGATGAAATGCTGTGATTGTACCGTGCAGACCAACGGAGAATAATCCGTGGCACGTGTCAAAGAAAAGTACTTGCGTAGTAAAATAAGAATAATAAATTGTAATATCCCTTACATCTGATCCCTCTTCCAGAACATTGAGGTTCCTCTGGACTCAACGGTGAAGGTGTGTGTGTGTGTGTGTGTGTGAGACCGTTGTGACTTCAGAAGCCCGGTCAACACAATAAAGTTGACAAACTAGCATTCGACGTAGGTACACAAGAAGAAGGAACACGGCTTAGATTTGTATCTTTGGTGTTAGCTATGCAGCTATTTTTTCACATAATAATAATAATAATAATAATAAGCATAGCGATAAAATAAATCGTTGTGTTCCGCTCGGTGTACTTTAGGTGCAGCTGTGCTCAGATCACTTGAGGCTTCTTCTGGACACAAATGTAAGGGCCGTGTGCGTAAGCGAGTGGACGTGCAGTGGGGCTCGAACACACGTGGTGAGGATTATCATGACATGTCATAACACTGAGTCATAACGCGCAAAGAGACTGCTCACTGATGGACGCGGACAAACACGGGCGACGACAACACGCAGGGCTATTTGTATCCTGTGACATCGACGGAAAGACCACGGCTATTTTATTTTAGAATTCAAACTCGGAAATTTAGAGATCCACTCCGGAATGCTGGGAGTACGTTTTGCAGGTACAATATTTGAAATTTTTAAAAGGTGCTCTTTTATAGTTGGGTTACGGTTATTATTTTGGAATGTAACTTGGAACATTTGAAAATAAAATTGCAATATTCAACATCTACTTGTTT